GGAATCCCGGTCTTCTTCACCTCTCGAGCAGACATCAGGGCGTCAATTTTGCTCTCGAGATCCTTCATCTTTTTGTCCTCATCTATATCCTGTTTTGGGCAATTTTCGAGAGGAATAATGCGGCTACCCCCAGTGTTATTATCTTTGGCGGAACCACCCCCAGCGTTGTTATCTGTAGGGGGTGCATTTGAACCACACCCAGTATTTTTGGGAGGTACGTCAGCCATGATGATTTCGTCCACTTCTGGATCGCTGTCAATTGCGACATTCTGGGTGCGACGGCTGGATTCAACTCTAAATTGATTGGACAGAACCCGAATTTGTTGATCATGCTCTTCCCTCATTCGCATCATGGCCATTTCCATTTCGAACTTGAAGTTCTCTTTTTGTTTGGCCAAGGCATCTTCAACCATTTTAGTGACCTCTTCTGTGCTAATCATCAACACTTCGCGGGATTGACCTAGGCTGGATATCGTTTTGTCAGAAGCGACTGCAGAGTTAGTATCTGACACTTCATCATCTGAGGATAATCCTTGATTCATCCACTGATAGTCCCTTTGTCTAACGGTTCCCGACCGTAACCGAGTTATACATTGGGATATGTCCGAAAGATGACGAGGATTGAAGTTTCGCGTTGACTTCCCCTTATCAACCATATTAACTGTGACTTCTGGAAGTTCGTCATCTTGCGCAGTTGGACTTTTTCTACAGAAACGCATTGGCTTGGTCCTGGGCATTTTGGGGAGATCCTTTCAAATACCGAGACCCTCTGTGGAGTGGTCTTGGGGCAGCTACATGCTGATAATACTACCATGATAATTTTGGTACACGGACAGTGAGAGTCCACTTCCCGGGTATTTCTCTTTCGAGATTTATTCGTACCCCCAGCCCGATAGTACAACTCATCGACGTTACGGTCAGAGCAACCTATCGCATGTTTATATGAATTCTCAGGTATAACACATTCTTCTGTCTGACGTGTTTTCATCTGAGTAAACATCGCCTTGTTGGCGTCTACAAGAGTCACACGCTTGGAATCACACCTTTGTGAGGTTGAAACCTTAACGGGCTCCTGGTTTTCTGCACGCACCCCCAAGCGGGCCGTTGTAGAAATTAATTTGTTAGAAAGTCGCGTACGACCCCCAGTCCGGATGCTTGCTCGAAGCTCCTTCAACGGTCTCAAGCTTTCCTTAACAGGCGCTTTTCCTCGATCCTCGAGTAGAGAACCGATGCGATCCTTCAATGGGACTCTAGATTTGGTAAGATCCATGCTGTCATAGGGCTTCACCGGAGGTACGGGAGCAATAGGAGCGGGATCTGGAGTTGACAAAGGCCGAAAAGCAGCCTCGGATGCTTTTACCTTAGGCGCTGATTTGGCCTTTGGCATCCAAACTTGCTTAGATCTTGGTGGCTTTTTGACCACCTTTCCTTTCTGTAACTCCTGTGCATTCCGTACAAGGATCCTCGTATGCGCTAGCAGTGCGCGGCGTTTATGGATACGCTCCTCAAGAGTTGAACGAGTTCGTTTGACACGAACCCATTCGTTAGTAGGTGGTTGGGAGGAGGTTCCCAAAGCTTGTTGCTGGAACACTTTGCGCCTTCTGAGCTTCAGATCCGCATCATAGCAGATCCCGTCAACAGGCTCCAAAGCCTTGGCAAATTTACGCGCGAGATGTTGACGGCGCCTTTGACGAGCCCTGTTCGTCAACATTGGTGCACTTTCAACGGGCAACTCCTTGACTTTCGAGGAGTTGTCACGAACATTGAATCTGGTTTCTTTGGAAGCCAGAGAGGAATCTTCCACTGCATTTGGGTTCAGATCATCAGCCTTGGTTTTTGGATCTGAAGTCACATTCTTCGTGGCAATGGTTTTCCTGCGTTTGCAAGAAGAAGATCTGGAGGAGGAGAAAATATATTCCTTGAATTTCTGCTGGTCGAATTCGTATTCGACCTCTTCGAGCATCGGGATCTTGATAGTCGGCTGCGGCACGACAGCTTCGGCAGCGAAGCTATTGGCTCCCACTATGGTCGCCAGTTTGTTTGCGGTGAAAGTTGTTGTTTTCATTGCTATCGAATCTATTACAACTTTGGTCGTTACAATAAACTCGAATAAAATAAAAAGTTGATCTTTTTATAAGATCTCCTTACACAATGAAAATAAAAAAGTTTACAACTTTATCAAACAAACAAAGAGATCGTTTATCGGTCTTCTGCTTGCGTGGGATCTTTGCCAGTGCCGGGGTTTATCCGTGGACCACCGTCGATCAGATCTGATTGCTAAAAAATTAGGCAGAGTTTCGTTGATTCGCGAAGGAATCAAGAAACCGTAGCACTTATCTCGGCAACGGCGAGATAATTGCTCTTCTTAAGATTATCGCAACGGGATAATCTTAAGGAACGGACCCGGGAAACTACAGATCTGACGATCTCCTCTTTTTTATGCCGACGAACTAGATCTGATCTCTCCTCCTCCTCTCTGAAATTTGTGCACCTTCAGTCTTCAATCCGGCAGGGCTTCGCCTAATCTCCAAAATTCCAGCTCTCGAAAAATGAGGGCCTGAGGCTTGTATTTATAGGCTCGGGGTGGTTGAAACAACATAACAACCCATTTTTGGGCCCGGAGACACCCCAGGGTGTCTCAGTGAGGCCGAGACACCCTTGGGTGTCTCGGCCTTGGCCGAGACACCTTAGGGTGTCTCGGTTGGGCCGAGACACCCCGTGGTGTCTCAACTCAGCTGAGACGCTTCTTTTGCATATTTGTCCGTTTCCACCGTAATTTCTTCGTCCGAACTCGGATTTGAGTGATTCAAAGTGCGTTTGAAAGCCGACAAGGAGTTCTATAAGATCCCATGGTTGAATCATCTATGGAGTGGATGAGACACGAAGGGCGTTTCGCCTTTTGTAAGCGACACGAGGCTCCCGGTCAGTTCGTATCCTCGTTATTCTGAAACTCTGTTGCTTCACGTAGTTCGTCGATCCACTTTAGGTGTTTGTCTACGTCAATCAAGCTTCTGTGAATTGGATAGCGATGTTCATTGTCTTTTCTTAGCGCCGAGCCATTCGTGGAGACCTATAGGTAATTTTCGATGCCTACAAGTACCAAGTAAACGGTACATCTAGGTACGACCAAAATATATAAGGACTTGAAGAGACACTTTTGGTGGAATGACATGTGTAGGGATGTTGCGGAGTATGTATCTAAATGTTTTACCTGTCAGCAGGTGAACGCAGAACATCAGAGACCAGCTGGTACACTATAGCCCTTACCCATTCCTGAATGGAAGTGGGTAGATATTTCATTGGATTTTATTGTGGGATTACCGAGGTCTAAACAAGGAAATATTTCCATCTGGGTGATTATCGGCCGACTGACTAAGTCAGCACATTTTTTGCCAGTTAAGACAACTCATACTGCATAGACTTATGCAAGGATTTTTATTCGGGGGATTGTAAGATTACATAGAGTTCCAGAGACGATTATATCGAATCACGGTTCAGTATTCACATCACATTTTTGGAAGAGCTTCAAGAAATCTTTCGGCAGCCAGCTAGCTTATAGCAATATTTTTCACCCGCAGACAGATGGTCAAACAAAGAGAGTCAATCAAATATTGGAGGACATGCTTCAGGCATGTGTGTTAGATTTCCAAGGTAGTTGGGAATATCATATACCATTAATTGAGTTTGCCTACAGCAATAATTATCAATCGATTATAGGTATGACTCCTTATGAGGTATTGTATGGGAGGCCCTATTGATCTCCGCTTTGTTAGGCAGAGCCGCAGGATAGCTTACTGCTTGGGTCAGATCTAGTTAGACAAAATGATATCAGAGCAGTTATCCAGCCAGAAGTTTGGAGCTAAGTGATATACGGAGCTAAGTGCTACACTGTGTGGATGCGGTGGGAGCCACCTCTAGAGCCCGTAGGAGTCACCTCTAGAGTCCACATCGCTTGAAGCGACACTGAGATGTGCTAATTATTATGTCGTGACGACAAGGACATCGATCGTCTTCGTAACGTGGGGTGATTGTGATACCCCTACTTTATTCCCACATGGACTAGTGTGAAGAAATATTAGTGGTTTAAATATAGAAAAAGCTAAGGTCCAAAAACAAGTAGTGCTAACATTTTGGCAGTGGATTGAGCCAGCACTCGAGTTACTCTCGGTGGGTCCCACGGCTTGTGCATGCCAACGGGCCCGTGGGCTCGGGGCGTGACATTATAGCCCTCAACTTTCATCAAAATTGACTTCTATATAGTAAAAGAGGTTTTGATATGATATTAGTGTAATCTAAGTTCAAAACTCATTGGCCACACATTGAATAAGAATTTAAAGAAAAAAGATTGTTGTGTAGTGCAGAATAACGCATGTTGAACAAGCTACAAAGTATTAGGCTATAGTTAACAACATGGTCATAGTTTCAGAGTTTTGATACTATGCATTATCATGCACTTCTCATTATAAGCTGTTGGCAAACTAGAAAGGAGCTACAAAGAAAAAGATACTAATTAATCAACATGCATGTAGAAGGTTAATAAGGTGTGAGAGAATCAAAGTGGACTCTAGAAGAAGCAAACCCTTGATTACTTGTCAAATATCAACAAAGATTGGAGGGAATCTAATCTATTGGCCCACCCAAAATTTGGTCTAGACTTCTGTAGCTAATTGGGTGCTTTGTTTTACTAAAATAATTGATCAATGACTTGGGTTTTGGGATCCGAGCCTTCCATATTGGGTGGGCAAATGGGTAACGTGGGTCCTTCAAGAAAGAACAATAAAGTGGGAGAACATTGGTGAAAAAAGCCAAAGAAAGGAGAAAAAAAAAATTTTAATGCTAGAGGTGTGGTTCATGAGAGAATAGGGCCCTTTACCCTTGTATGGTGTCATTGAGAAATGATGGGGGGCTAGGTTGGTTGAGGGTCGCTTTGATGGTGCGCGCATCCTCCCCTCACTACTAAAACCCCTCCTCTCCCCTCCTTTTTCGTACTCCCCTCTCTTTTCTCAACCCTCATTTCCTCTCTCTCTCTCCCTCTCCCTCTCTCTCTCTCTTCCATCCTTGTTTGTACACTAAAAGTTCTCATTTCTTCTCTTCTACAATTAACTTTGTCCTATTCTTCCCAGTAGATGTCAACCAACATCACACATCTCCTGTACTCATAACTCAGCTCATTCACAACAAAAGTAATCTTCCATTCATCCCAGAGCCTCGAATGTCTCACACAATTTCCTCGATCTCTAGTGTTTAGTTGCATTATGTCCTCGTATCAGTAGCAAACTCTTCATCAAGTTCGGAAACTCAGTTAAACTAACTTTTATGCTACCAGTAGCGAACTCTTCGTTAAAACAAAGTGAAGTGTGACTTTGCACTTTTCACACATTTAGAGCAAATGGGTAGTACTACGGAACCCGAAAGCAGCAACAACTCCTGTCTCTCATCCATATCCTCATCCCCTTCATCTCCGAACCCGATAACTGAAACATCCAAACCCGTTAACGACACGAGGAAGCCGGGTTCAAACAAGCGGGCACGGGATTGCAATAAGCACCCGGTCTATCGTGGAGTTCGGATGCGGACTTGGGGAAAATGGGTGTCGGAGATCCGTGAACCGAGAAAGAAGTCTCGGATCTGGTTGGGTACATTCCCTACGCCAGAAATGGCAGCCCGGGCTCATGACGTGGCGGCCTTAAGCATCAAGGGTAGTTCCGCCATTTTGAACTTTCCGGATCTTATCGGGTCGCTGCCCCGACCCGTTAGCCTCTCGCCCCGCGACGTCCAAGCTGCCGCGGCAAAGGCCGCCGCAATGGAGCTCAAAGCCGACGTGGAGGAAGATCCTACGACGTCGGATGAGTTGGGAGAGATTGTTGAGCTGCCAAGATTGGATGGTAATTTATTCGATTCTGCAGATTCGGGTTCTGAATTTGTGTATTATGACCCAGTGGACCCGTGGGCGTATCCGGATACATGCGGGTTCATATCGGATCAAACGTGGGATCCGAATAGCTTTGAAGGTCTGTTATGGGATTACTAGCTAATTTATTTCTCCTTATTTGGTAGTGCGCGCGTATGCCCCTCATTTTTTTCATCATGGGCTGGTTTTTTTTGTGCTTCTCCTTATATTGTCGTTTAATTAGCATCCTCATGATTGCATAAATTGTATAAAGTTCGGAGAAAGCTTGGGGGGAGGAATGATATAATGATATGACTTCTTTGGTTTGTGTGAGAAATTATGAAGGGCACATTAGCGTATACTGTTATGTGTTCCTTTTTAGTCTTTGCCTATAGCTGTGTTTTCTGTTATCTATTTGTTAACTTTTGTTTTGAGGGGTTTGATAAGATTAATTTAAGTAATTTAGGCATAAATTACTTGTTTCCCAAGCAGAAGCAAGTACAAGTAATGTAAATGCTTATTAACTTACACTATTCGTCGAGTATTATGCTGGAAAAGAATTTTAAAGGGAGCTCCTTATAAACCAATTGTGAAAATAAGGGAAGATAATTGATATCTGATTAATATCCTCATCTAAAGAAATTAGCTATGCCTTTCAAAGGTGCCATCCATATGAGCTGCCCTTGACAAGTACTTTTCTAGTCTTCAGTGGCCTTTTGCAAGCATTACGAAGAGGCTAGTCTTCACCACATTCTCTTTGGAGCTTTTCCTTTGATGCTCAGATTCTTCTTCTATAATTTGCACATTCCAAATACCAATTACTCCACTTTTTGCTTTGTATATTTAATCCTATCTCAACAGTGTTTGTTACATGGCCACATTTTTCCTATTGTTCTCTATCTTCTTCAACAAATGATGGGGTTTTAAAAAGGTTTTGAGATGAAATAGGAGGTTGTATGCTGTACCTTTTGCAGTGCTATTGGTTCATTTGGAAATAAATATAACGTAACAACCTTTAGGTCATGCCACTATAACCATATATATAATCATTGGAAACTTGCAACATTTTATGACTATGGCATAGAATAAGTCCAGCTAGTTAGAGAAAGGTTGCAGGGTACAAAGTAAAGGTTGCATGCAATCACTAGTCATCGCCATAGTTACTTTAATTCTTTTTCTTGTGCTTACATAATATCAAAAAATTGATTAGATATTGCACTACAAGATTCTTTTTGTCCATTAATATAGACAAAAAGACAATAATGGTGTGTTGGCCTTTGTCACCCTATCAGTTTTGATCCAAAAGTCTTCAACTCTTCATGACATAGAATGTGAGAGATAACAAGAGGGTAGCAAATTAGCTAGTTATTCGCCGAGTATTTAATATGTGATTACTGTTTGACTTGCTACTCTTCACATTGGAAACTAACTAGCTTAACATTTGCATTTAGCATCATTCGAACCGCGAGCGCGGGGGGGGGGCGGGGGGGGATACAAGGCTTACTTCAAAAATAATAAAAGGAGTATATATATATACTAGCAAGGCAAAGGAGATATTTTTTTTCATAAAAGGAAATTCAAACAAAGTAATAAGAATAAACAATTGACAATTAACAATCTAAAAGAAGTCTAAGGTCTCGTAAATATAATTTTAAAGCAAACGTTCCTTTTAATTAAGGGGCTGTTTGGTTCGTTTCCTTGATATAGAGAAATGCAATTCCATGTAAAGAAACACAAGTTTTTTGTTTTCCAAACTTTTCCAAGAAATAGATTGTTTTGCCTTGGTTCGCACATAAAAAATGGTGGGAAACCAATGTATTTATTTTTCTTGTGTTTGGTTCGCATAGAAAAAAAAGGAAAACTTTTGTAAACAAAGCAGAGAAGGAAAAAAATCTGACGTGACAGAGTTTTTATCAATTTCACTTGGTTGGGGAAGGAAATCGGAGAGGGAAAAAAAATCTTAGTTGGCGGCAATTTCAGCAGAGTTTTTCCTCTTCCATTCGAGCGAACCAAACAGAATCGGTCCTAAGCATTCGGGGGCCCTAGGCAAAAACTTGAACAAAATTCCTAAATGAGCCCTCCTATATTAAAGATTTTTTTTAAATAAAGTGTTGCACCCAAGTAACTTTAGGGCTGCCTATATACCAAGGAATGCTATAACTAACCCCATTGATCAAACACAATGTAGTTCTCCTAAGCTACCCACCCTGGCCAAAGACCTACAAATCACACCCTAACACTCTCATTCCCAAAACAAGGTCAACGAACCAATAGAAGTATCACTTTATGAAGCCTCTTCTTACATTTTTAGATGCAAAATCATTAAATAAACTTGTATAATCAAGCTTCTCCACTATATTTTTCTCAATTGAAAATATATCTAAGTCATTCAATCTTTCTTGTGATATAGTTGATCGAAGGTAAGATTTGATCAATTTTAACTTTGAAAAGCTTCTTTCCCAAGAGGCAACAGTAACAGGTATGGCCAACAATATTTTGTAAGCAATCCAAGCATTCAAAAAAGTACCATCCAATTTCTTCAAATAATTCAGCACGTCAAAATGTGTTCACATAAAATTACCTCTGACATCAAAATGTGTTCACATAAATTTCCCTAGAGTGTCCCCCCCCCCCCCCCCTCATGAATTTTTTTTGTGTGTTGTGCGGCGAGACAAGGACCGTGTCTCTGCAGTATTACCACAAGACTTCTCATTAGATTAGAAAGAACCCTATAAACTACCAATTAGCATTAGTGTATTGAGCGGAATTTGGGAACAATTGGAAGCAAAATGAAAATTTGTAATAAAATTGGTCTTTCCAGCAAAATTAAAGTGAAAGAGGCTGAGAGCTCGCGATTTCATCTAAAGATGAGGAATTACCTTTGCTTAGACTAGAAATTTCATTTTTTTAAATCAAATTTTTTTACATCAATTCATAATCTTGTCAATAAGAGCAGAGAAGTGAACAAATGAATCCCTAACCTTGGTCAATGGTGGCGGGCGAGAGGGAGGAGCCGAGGAGGACAATGACGGGAGGAAGATTGGAAGAAGAGAGGTCAGAGAGAGAGAGGGAGAGAGAGAGACCTAGGGTTTTCTCTTTTTTTTTATGTGAGAGCGACGACTGAGATAGGGGCAGGAGGAGAGGAAGAGGCTGACGGAAGTCTGAAGATAGGGTAGAGTTTTGTAACACATTAGGGGCCCCTGTTTTTTGGGGGCCCTAGGCAAAGGCCTCTCCCGCCTATGCCCAGAGTCGGCCTTGGAACCAAAGCGGCACAAAGAAATGGACGGAAACAAAAAAACTAACGTGCAGGGCTAAAAATCTGACGTGGAGGGGTTTTCTGGGTTTTCCACCCCTTATAATAGCGAACCAAACAGCTCCTAAGAAGAAAATGGCAAAAGACGACGAGATTAAACGTATGGAGAAGGGCAAAATTGTGGTTTATAATATGAACTATCTTGAAATTGCCGGGTCCCACCGTGCAGCTTTCTCGCCATTTTGAAGGACACGTGGATGATATTATCGTAGGTGTTCGAGAAGTTGTATATCTGCCGAAAATCTAGCGGAATTTCACCACGTGGGTCCCATCCGTCCTTTCCTTTTTAATCTCGTGTGGTTGAAAGCGACCGCAATCTTCCCCGAAACGCGTGGGAGCAGCGGAGATGATGAAAACGACGGCCTAACGCATCCTCCCCTCTCTAAAGAGGCTCCGCTGTAAACAGTTGAATCAGCCATCCACATCGTTTAATACTTAAAAAAATAAATGACAATTGTACACATCTTTAATAAGAACCTAGTCTCGAGCAAAACAATATGATCAAATAACCTTGAAGCAAAAAGCAAAATATCATAACTAACTCTTTACTCAATTCACATGACTACCAAAACCAAATAAAATCTCCAACGTCAGAATAAACATAAATCAAGCATATTTATAATACATGTAAATCAACTTCGATTAGAAATGCAAATGATTTTACCCTCATGGACAGAGCTAATTTGCATTTGAACATTAGCACCAACAACATCCGATCGAGCACCCAATCAAACAACAAAAAGGTTTCGGAATTCCACTTATTTGTAATGAAGTGATTCTCGCGATATCTGGTTCAATTCTTTACATCAGCAGGGTGCATGAGGGTAAAATCATAGATGCTAGCAAATTTCAAGAGAAACAAACAAAAGCTTAATTAGTCAATGTAAGGCTTAAATTTTAATTAAACAAATCGTGACAGCTGAAGCATCTAATTCACCAACTTCTAGAATCTGGAAAGATGTGAATGAGATCACCGGCGGGTATTCCATCTCTCCTTAATTTCTCTAAAGTTAATATTTTTGCTGTGCAAGGCTGTTAGATAGTGAGTTTAATTATTTGTTTTACATGTTGTTCCTCTTTATTTTGTTTGTTGGTGGGTGAAGGGCCTGCGAAAATTAGAGAAATATATGTGCAATGTCTATCCTATAAAGAATTGCGAAAATATTCCCATGAAAGAGAGAGCTTGAATGAAAGAAATTTGATTCTATCTATTAAAACAAAAAGGTCATTATTATAATCAAGATAGATCTTATCTGTTAAAATTACTGCAATTAGGAAATTTGATTTTATCTATTAAATTCCTAAGAAGGAGAGAGTTCTACAGCAGAAAAAAAGTTATCTATATTATTATACTATTAAAGTAGCTTATACTAGAGCAAACAAATGACATCCATAAAACACCTTAGAATCCCCCCAAAAGGTTTTTCCATGATTAAAAATGCTGTTAGAATTAATATCATAGAGTAACAAAAAAAGGAAAAATTTCTATTAAAAATATCTCACAAAGGGAAGCAGAAAAGGAAAAACGAATTTAGTTAGGAAGTATAATCTTAAAATATATTGCGTTCTCTAACTAACTATGTTTAAGATTTGTGTATCTCTCCTAAACAAAACATTGCAACATAAAAAATGAAGCACAACAAAATAAAAAATAGAAAAAAGAAAACAAAATTATGTTGAAAAATTTTGTCAACACCATCAGGGAGAAAAAATTTATCCCTAAGATTTCTTTCTCATCCATATCTTTAAGGGATGAGGATGAGTTGTTAAGAGATCTTAAATAAGACCTAAGTGAATTTTTAATTGAGGGAGAAGGGATCTTTTTAAAACAAATAGAATTTTATAACTGCTAGCACTTCTTGTGCATGCGACGCATAAATATGCCATATATGTGAAACTGCTAAGCAGGTTCAGCCCAAAACAAGACCCACATTAAGTCCATGTGATTGAATCCTAGCAAGAGAGGGATTAGTAGGACCTAATTGTAACTAGATAAGGTTAAGGGACCTTAGAATAATATTCCTTTCAA